GCCAGGCAGAAAGTATAGGTGTGGACATGAGGCCAGGCAGAAAGTATAGGTGTGGACATGAGGCCAGGCAGAAAGTGTAGGTGTGGACATGAGGCCAGGCAGCAAGTGTAGGTGTGGACATGAGGCCAGGCAGCAAGTGTAGGTGTGGACATGAGGCCAGGCAGCAAGTGTAGGTGTGGACATGAGGCCAGGCAGCAAGTGTAGGTGTGGACATGAGGCCAGGCAGCAAGTGTAGGTGTGGACATGAGGCCAGGCAGCAAGTGTAGGTGTGGACATGAGGCCAGGCAGTAAGTGTAGGTGTGGACATGAGGCCAGGCAGCAAGTGTCGGTGTGGACATGAGGCCAGGCAGTAAGTGCAGGTGTGGACATGAAGCCAGGCAGCAGGTTTAGGCGTGGAACATGAGGCCAGGCAGCAGGTGTAGGTGTGGACATGAGGCCAGGCAGCAAGTGTAGGTGTGGACATGAGGCCAGGCAGCAGGTGTAGATGTGGACATGAGGCCAGGCACCAGGTGTAGGTGTGGACATGAGGCCAGGCAGCAAGTGTAGGTGTGGACATGAAGCCAGGCACCAGGTGTAGGTGTGGACATGAGGCCAGGCACCAGGTGTAGGTGTGGACATGAGGCCAGGCAGCAAGTGTAGGTGTGGACATGAAGCCAGGCACCAGGTGTAGGTGTGGACATGAGGCCAGGCACCAGGTGTAGGTGTGGACATGAGGCCAGGCAGCAGGTTTAGGCGTGGAACATGAGGCCAGGCAGCAGGTGTAGGTGTGGACATGAGGCCAGGCAGCAAGTGTAGGTGTGGACATGAGGCCAGGCAGCAGGTGTAGGTGTGGACATGAGGCCAGGCACCAGGTGTAGGTGTGGACATGAGGCCAGGCAGCAATAGTTGTGAGGACACTTGTCTTGATCACTTCCTTCCTTCAACAGTTAACTTACCAAACTATGTATTTACCTCCTTGTGTTGCACGCAGCCATACAAAATATGACTTTTAAATACTTGAAATTAGATATAAAAATTACCTAAATTAATTAATATTTGTGTTCCAAGTGTCCTTGGCTCGTTTAGAGTAATCAATTCCAGGGCTCTAACTTATTGCCTTAGGAAGGACAGTCTCAAAAGTCTGACCTGGAAACTAGCAAAATATATCAAACCGTTCGCCAATTAAGCAAAGCAAAAATAAACAATAAATAAGTGTGAGTTCCTCTCGAGGAGCAAAACCACATATAAGACAATTGTTTTTAATGGAACTAAGTGAAGACTTGTTTTCAAGAAACGATAACGCGGAATGATTCAGTTCGGATGGTTGCAAATAGAAGCTGCCTCGCATAGGTCGATAATTCTAAAATCTATTTTATTATCTTTAGCTAAGCGTGGTTGTAATAACGATGATTTATTTTACTTGACCGTGGTGTTAGAGGAACAAAATAAAACTAATATTTTAAATCAGGAATTATTAAAGGGAAGGGAAGGGAGGGGAAGGGAAATATCAGGAGAAAGCGCCAAGCCACTATATACCACTTGGAAGAGGTCAGGTTAAAGATTTGGGATGGGACGAGGGGAAGGAATGGTGACCAACAACTTGAATGGTCGGGGATTGAACGCCGACCTGCATGAAGCGAGACCGTCGTTCTACTGTCCAGTCCAAGTGGTTAAAAAAATAATAATTGACAAATAATGAATTAGTCTCTTGACGTAATGAGATAAACCAGATGTGAGAGTTATTATATACCTCAGATATGTTTGAGAGAGACTTATAATGGATCACTGAATGACATCAGAATGAGGTCAGAGTTTAATTCAAGGGCTGCTTAAGTCTATTCAGCCTTGTAGATCCGTGGAACAGATTAGCGGGTGACATAATAGAAGTGGAATCACTTGATTGCTTCAAGCGCAGGTTAGACATATCTATGTGAATGAGTTTGGTTTTATATAAATAGGACTTGCTTCATGCAGGCCGACAGACCTGCTGCAATTTAACTAATTTAAGAGTTAATTTCATATGTATATATGGCTGACAGCGCCATATATACAGCCGTTGGCTTCGACTGGAAAAGTCCAACAGGAGCTTGGAGACGAGGGACATTAGGGTAAGATTAGAGAGATGTAATCCGAAGATTAGCACAATATGAAGTACCAGACAAATATCAACTGATAAGACCTGCAGATAAGGATAATGAAATCTGAAGATTAAACCAATGTGAATTATGAAACTAATGTTACACCTTTGCCAACAGGAACTGAGGTTAAGGTTGTAATCGAGGAAGTCGGAACTCTGTAATGATAGACGATTAAAAAAATCCCTCGCTTTCATTTATCAGAATTTCGTACCCAAATGCTGAAAACCAGGAGGCAATCTAGGTGAAATTAAGAGGATAATATATTTTACCTAATTCCCCGGGAGGCGCATTAACTCCAGATAATAATAATTCGGTTTAAAATCATGCGATAATTATTTAATATTTGTCCTAAGGATTAAAATGTATTGGAAGAATGAACCAAAATAAGTAAAAAAAAGGCGGCTAACACAGAGGTTATCTTGAGGTGATTTCGGGGCTTAGCGTCCCTCGAAAGACGCACAGGGCAATCCAGTAAGTCTCACGTGTATCATCTATGACAGATATCACTAGAGGTATATATTTTATGATATACAGTTTGAGACAGATATCGTTTAAGACAGATATCATTTGGAACATATAATTTCAGACAGATGAATTAGCTTTAAACGATTTCTCCATCAAATCTATTCCATTTATTGACAACTCTAACACTGCAACACTTCTTCCTAATGTATCTGTGACTCATTTGCGTTTCCACCAAACATCTATGACTCCTCGTTCCCCCTGTTTCTTGCTTTGATCAAAGCTTCTTTGTCTATTTTGTCAATTTCTTTTATAATCTTACGTGTTCCTATTATGTCCTCTCTATCTCCCCTTTCCTTCAGTATGGTAAGGTCCAGTTCTCTCAGTCTTTCCTCATAGCTCAATCCTCTCAGCTCAGGAACCAGTCTTGTTGCAAATCTTTGAATGTTTCTTGAGTCCCCTTGTCCTTTTTCAAGAAATGGTTCCAGGCTACTAATGCATATTCAGGAGTGAGACTCACCTTTGCTGTATATAGGGCCCGGAAAGCAGCTTTGTCCAAGATTCTGAAGGCTACACGGATGGTGGCCAGTATGCCATATGCAGCTGATATTATTCTGCTAATGTGGGCTTCTAACATCTAACTTCTTGATTTTGGGTTATATCCACTGCCAGGCCATTTACCTTTTCTGGTTGAAGAATCTGTCTTCTCTTATTCCTATACTGGCCTTGTGTATTCACCTAGTTGTTCTTGCGAGGGTTGAGCTCTGCTCTTTTGGCCCGCCTCTCAACTGTCAATCAGTCAACTGTAACTAACAACCTACTAATTTATTTTTCCTTTTTTTTTCTCCTGGCATACACACACCCGGGAAGCAGCTCCGTAACAGCTGTCTGACTTCCCAAGTACCTATTTACTGCTAGATAACAGGGACATCAGGGTGAAAGAAATTTTGCCCATTTGTTTCTGCTTGGTCCGGGAATCGAACCCGGGCCACAGAATTACGAGTACTGCGCTCTGTCCGCTCAGCTACCAGGTATGTGTGTGTGTGTGTGTGTGTGTGTGTGTGTGTGTGTGTGTGTGTGTGTGTGTGTGTGTGTGTGTGTGTGTGTGTGTGTGTGTGTGTGTTTGTGTGTGTGTGTACTCACCTAGTTGTACTCACCAAGTTGTGCTTGTGGGGGTTGAGTTTTGGCTCTTTGGTCCCCCCCCCCCCCCTCTCAACTATAAATCAACTGGTGTACAGATTCCTGAGCCTATTGGGCTCCATCAAATCTACAGTTGAAGTTGTGTATGGAATCTGCCTCCACCACATCGCTACCTAATGCATTCCATTTGTTAACTACTCTGACACTAAAGAATCTTTATAATGTCTCTGTGGCTCATCTGGGTATTAAATTTCTACCTGTGTCCCTTTGTTCGTGTTCCATCCGTGCTAAATAGTTTGTCTTTGTCCACCCTGTCAATTCCCCTAAGAATTTTGTAGATTGTTATCATGTCTCCCCTTATTCTCCTGTCTTTCAGGGATGTGAGGTTTAGCTCCAGTAGCCTTTCCTCGTATCTCATACCTCTCAGTTCCGGGATCAGTCTGGTGGCGTACATCTGAATCTTCTGCAACTTTGTCTTGTGTTTAATTAGATATGGAATCCAGGCTGGAGCTGCATACTCCAGGATTGGTCTGACATAAGTGGTACACAAGGTCCTGAACGATTCCTTACACAAGTTTCTTAAGACGGTTCTTATGTTGGCACCTCTAGCATATGCCGCTGATGATATCCTTTTGGTGTGCGCTTCTGGGGACAGGTTCGGTGTGATATCAACCCCCAGATCTTTCTCTCTATTTGACTCTTGCAGGATTTCACCTCCCAGATGGTACCTTGTGTTTAGCCTCCTGCTCCCTTCGTCAAATTTCATTACTTTACACTTTCCTGAGTTGAACTTTAGTAGCCATTTTCTAGACCATTTCTCTAGTTTATCCAGGTCGTCCTGTAGTCTCTATCTTCATCTAATTTGATTCTTCTCATAATTTTTGCATCTTCAGCAAACATTGAGAGGATTGATTCTATACCCTCTGGAAAATATTTTACATATATTAGAAACAGGATGGGTCCTAGTACAGAGCCCCGTGGAACTCCGCTGGTGACATCTCGCCACTCTGATGTCCCCCTCCCCCCCCCCTCACAGTTACTCGCTGTTTCCTGTTGCTTAGATGCTCCCTTAAGCACTGGAGCACCTAGCTTTGTGCATGCGTGCGTGCGTGTGTATACATGACGCCTACAAGACCACCACCACCACAACAACCCTAGACACCCCACAGAATTCCCTGAGCATCGTTACTATCAGGCCCACCTCGATAACATATATACGCACACATATACCAGCGCGCCCGTCGCCTCCCACCAGTGCCTGCCTGATCTCCCTGCCCCAAGATGAAGCTGCCGATCTTGTGTCTGCTGGCGGTGGCTGCAGGGGGCGCCGGCGGGGTGCTCACGCCCCCTCACAGGTCCTACAGGATCCTCATGCTCCTTCCGATAGCCAGCATAAGCCACAGAAATGTGTTCATGCCGCTGGCCACGGCTCTGGCGGACCGCGGCCATCAGGTAAGGCGCCATGTTGACTTTGACCTCAGTTTTGGCTAATGGTTCTGGCGAATATGAGAGTACCTCATTATGCTGGTGATTAAATGTGGTTCTGATTGGCTTGGAGATTTATTGGGCACCTCATTAGGTTGCCAAAGCAACTGTGTCGTTATTACGTTTGCGATCCAGTGGTTCCCTCATTAGCATTGCGATCCAGTGGTTCCCTCATTAGTTTTGCAATTCAGAGAGCACCTTCATAATGTTGGCAATCCAGTGAGGCCGTAATTAGATTCGTTACCTAGTGGGGCTCTAATTAGATTCGTTGCCTAGTGGGGCCCTAATTAGATTCGTTATCTAGTGGGGGCTCTAATTAGATTAGTTATCTAGTGGGGCCCTAATTAGATTCGTTATCTAGTGGGGGCCCTAATTAGATTCGTTATCTAGGGGGGGCCCTAATTAGATTCGTTATCTAGTGGGGGCCCTAATTAGATTCGTTATCTGGTGGGGCCCTAATTAGATTCGTTATTTTGAGGGGACATAATTAGTTTCGTTATCTGGTGGGCCCATAATTAGATTCGTTATCTAATGGGGCCCAAATTAGATTCGTTATTCGGTGGGGCCCTAATTAGATTCGTTATCTAGTGGGGGCCCTAAAAGATTCGTTATCTGGTGGGGCCATAATTAGATTCGTTATCTAATGGGCACCTAATTAGATTCGTTATTTGGTGGGGGCCCTAATTAGATTCGTTATCTAGTGGGCCCTAATTATATTCGTTATCTAGTGGGGCCCTAATTAGATTCGTTATCTAGTGGGGCCCTAATTAGATTCGTTATCTGGTGGGGACCTAATTAGAATCATTATCTGGTGGGGCCCTAATTAGATTCATTATCTAGTAGGGCCTATATAAGTTCGTTATCTGGTGGGGCTCTAATTAGATTCGTTATTTGGTGGTGGTCCTAATTAGATTCGTTATCTAGTGGGGTCCCAACTAGATAACTTTGCGATGCAGTTTGGCTTTCATTACCAAGGCGATTCAGTGGGGCCCTGATTTGAATGTCCATTTAGTTTTGCCCACATTATCTTGGTGATTCAGTTGGGCCCTCATTAGCTTGGTGAGTCAGTTGGGCCCTCATTAGCTTGATGAGTCAGTTGAGCCCTCATTAGCTTGATGAGTCAGTTGGGCCCTCATTAGCTTGATGATTCAGTGGGGCTCTCATTAGCTTGGTGAGTCAGTTGGGCCCTCATTAGCTTGATGAGTCAGTTGGGCCCTCATTAGCTTGATGAGTCAGTTGGGCCCTCATTAGCTTGGTAATTCAGTGGGGCCCTCATTAGCTTGATGAGTCAGATGGGCCCTCATTAGCTTGATGATTCAGTGGGGCCCTCATTAGCTTGGTGATTAAGTTGGGCCCTCATTAGCTTTGTGATTCAGTGGGGCCCTCATTAGCTTTGTGATTCAGTGGGGCCCTCATTAGCTTGATGATTCAGTGGGGCCCTCATTAGCTTTGTGATTCAGTGGGGCCCTCATTAGCTTGGACAGTAATTCATTATCCTAAATGTTTCAGTGTTTTAACATTGATGCATTGATGAAGTAACTTATTCAACGTCGGTTTGTTTGATTAATACTAAATATATATGAAGGCTCTGAAAAATAGTGTATTAATAAGCTAGAATTGCAATTATACTGTTGTTAGAGCATTCAAAATCTAATTGAATTCATTGATAAATATATATATCTATACTATTAAAAAGAGGATGTTTGTTCGTCTGTCCAAAGCTGGAAACCAAACACCTGGAGACAGCTTCACCCAAATTTGCAAGTGGAATGGTCTGGGGTACGGGATGGACATAGGCTAGTCGAGAACAGCAGAATTCAATAGGGAACAGTGTGCCTGGAGTAACATTTTGGCAGTACCAAAATAGTGTCAAAACACCTTCCTAAATAACTTGAAAATAAAATGAAATACCTTCCAAAATAACTTTAAAATAAAACACCTTCCAAAATAACTTGAAAATGAAATAAAAATATAACAAAACGTTTAGGCTATTGAAACTCGGGCTGTAGTCCCATGCACACTAAATTCTGACCGTCATCCTCCTCCTTCAATAGAAAACTGAAGGTCGACCCACAGATTCGAAAGAATGGATAAATGGATGGATAGATGGATCAATACATGGATGTATTAAGAAAAAGACACATGAATTGATAGCTGGACAGATACATGTACGGACAGAAACATAAATAGATGGATGAATATATAATTAAATGCATGGATAGAAACAAATAGATGGACTGATGGATGGATGGCCGGATAAATAGACGGATGCATAGAAAGATAGATAGATAGAGTCCCACCTCTTACCAATCTTCCTCCACCTCTTTACCACTCTTCCTCCTTCCTTCTCATCTTCCCTCCCCTGTCTCCCCCTCTCGCCCCTATCCCATGCTCACCCGCCATCTCTCTGCCCTCCCCTGTCTGCCCTCTCCTGTCTGCCCTCCCCTGTCTGCACTCTCCTGTCTGCCCTCCCCTGTCTGCCCTCCCCTGTCTGCCATCTCCTGTCTACCCTCCCCAGTCTGCCCTCCCCTGTCTGCCCTCCCCTGTCTGCCATCCCCTGTCTACCCTCCCCTGTCTGCCCTCCCCTGTCTGCCCTCCCCTGTCTGCCCTCCCCTGTCTACCCTCCCCTGTCTACCTTCCCCTGTCTACCATCCCCTGTCTGCCTTCCCCTGTCTACCCTCCCCTGTCTGCCCTCCCCTGTCTGCCCTCCCCCTGTCTGCCCTCCCCTGTCTTCCCTCCCCTGTCTACCCTCCCCTGTATGCCCTCCCCTGTCTACCCTCCCCTGTCTGCCCTCTTCTGTCTACCCTCTTCTGTCTCCCCTCCCCTGTCTACCATCCCCTTTCTGCCCACCCCGGCCTACCCTCCCTGTCTGCCCTCCCCTGTCTGCCCTCGCTTGTCTACCCTCCCCTGTCTACCCTCCCCTGTCTGCCATCCCCTGTCTACCCTCCCCGGCCTACCCTCCAATCTCGAACAGACAGAGATTTCCATTATAATATATGGAACTGGTAACCGGCTGCACCCGGGACTCCTCCCCCCCCCCCCCCCCCCCCGAAATTAGGAAACACTGAAATAACTGCATAAGTCTCTCAGGTTTTCCTTTGTTTTCTTTTCATTTTTTTTTCTTTTTCTTTTCTGATTTTCCCCTCTTCCTCTCCCCTTGCAGCCGTTAACACCCCCCCCCCCGCCCCTTGCATCAACCCCTCGCTCCCCCTTCTCTCAGTCCCCTCTTCCTCTCCCCTTGCAGCCGTTAACACCCCCCCCCCCCGCCCCTTGCATCAACCCCTCGCTCCCCTTCTCTCAGTCCCCTCTTCCTCTCCCCTTGCAGCCGTTAACACCCCCCCCCCCGCCCCTTGCATCAACCCCTCGCTCCCCCTTCTCTCAGTCCCCTCTTCCTCTCCCCTTGCAGCCGTTAACACCCCCCCCCCCCCCGCCCCTTGCATCAACCCCTCGCTCCCCCTTCTCTCAGTCCCCTCTTCCTCTCCCCTTGCAGCCGTTAACACCCCCCCCCCGCCCCTTGCATCAACCCCTCGCTCCCCCTTCTCTCAGTCCCCTCTTCCTCTCCCCTTGCAGCCGTTAACACCCCCCCCCCCCCGCCCCCTGCATCAACCCCTCGCTCCCCCTTCTCTCAGAAGATTTATTTTTAATAAGTACTGAAAATAATTGCATGGGTCTTTTAGAAAATATATTGTTATGGTTACTAAAATCTTCACTGAAATCACACTAAATGTTTCTCTCTTGGTCCCCTGAAAAACGCCTGAGGGTGTTTATAACTGCTAGTACTTCTTAAGGCATTTTATTTTGGCCTTCCCCGAGCAACCTATGATCGTCCCGTACCCCAGATCGCTCTCCCTGCAAATTTAGGTGAGGCTAGTCCCTAGTGTCTGGTAACCAACTTAGGACAGACAGTCGTTCTTTTGTATAGATTCATATATATATTTGCAACTCTTTCAACTGTATTAATAAGGGAACTAAAAATATAATCGAGGCTCTTGCTCATGATAACTCGTGCTTATAGACATAATAGTTATCTTTAACCACTGATGAGCATATCATTTTGATATATTATTTCACCAGTCTGCTTTTTTTCCCTCTTCTCTTAGGTAGTGATGCTTACCAGCAACCAGGAGTTAGTTGACTATCCTAACATCCAGGAGATTTATCACGGGATCCCGATCGAAAGCATGTTTAACAGGAGCCTTTTCGAGGATAGAAATGATCCTATAGGGATTTTCTTGTTGCTGGGCGAGATCCTCCCAACTGTGGTCAAGAGGATTTACCAGGTTCCTGTGGTGAAGGATCTCTACCACAGGAGGAAGGAGTTTGACCTCGTGATCATCAATCAGAGGTACAACGAGGTGGGTGAGCCTGTAATTAGTTCTTTGTTCAACGAGATTCGTTATATTTGTGTGTGCACCTGTTTCCTGTTCAATAAAGCTTGTTATCTGTGCTAATTTCTTGCTCGACGAGGTTCGTTTTAAATATATATATATATATATATATATATATATATATATATATATATATATATATATATATATATATATATATATATATATATATATATATATATATATATATATATATATATATGTAACAATGATCACAAAAACACTGATCCAAGTATGCAGAAAAACCACATGTGAAAAATAGAGAATGCTTAACGCATTTTCGGCTAATTCTCCTTCATCAGAGCAAAGTAGAATGAATCATTCTATCCTGCTCTGATGAAGACGAATTACCCGAAAACGCGTTAAGAATTCTCTATTTTTCACATGTGGTTTTTCTGCATATATATATATATATATATATATATATATATATATATATATATATATATATATATATATATATATATATATATATATATATATATATATATATATATATATATATATATATACACTAGTATAATCAAAGAACGAAGTTATCTGTACTGTACTTGTTTCTTGTTCAAAGAGGCTCGTTACTCTGATTGTTTTTGGTTTAACGACATTCGTAATTCTTGCCTGTTTCTTGTTTTACGAAGTGCGCGACCCGTTTCTTGAAGAACGGCGTAAGTAAGTTCTTTTTAATGCACGTATTTGGTTCATCTTAACTGGCTGAGTAACGAGAGGAGTTTTTCAGCTAAGCGCTTTGTTTATGTTCTGCTTCTTCTTCTTCTTCTTCTTCTTCTTCTTCATCTTCCAAGAGTTTATTATTTTATTTTTGTTGCAAAGAAGTAAAGTTCAACTTTATTTCTCTCTCTCTCTCTCTCTCTCTCTCTCTCTCTCTCTCTCTCTCTCTCTCTCTCTCTCTCTCTCTCTCTCTCTCTCTCTCTCTCTCTCTCTCTCTCTCTCTCTCTCTCTCTCTCTCTCTCTCTCTATCTATCTATCTATCTATCTCATCACCGTAACTATAGCTGCCAGACATTTGGTCTGGTGGGTGCAGCAAGGACCTCGGCTGTTGCAAGTCAGCTTTTCTCCTGATGGCCCAAGCGGTTGGACGCTCTTGTTCCCTATCCCAGCTCAATGTCCGCATATCCCTGCCAAGTGCTGAATATTTGCACTGACTTACCACTTTCGACTGAGAATTACCTTAATGACTGCCTTCCCCCCCTCGCTCTCTCTCTCTCTACAGATTGTTTATCCATTTCTACACGAGATTCCCTTCATCACCTTATCCACTCGGGACATGGATCTGTGCCAGAGTGCCATCCTGGGCAACGTCCTCAACCCGGCCTACTTCGTCAAGCTCTATTCGAACTATTTCGATCGTGCGAGGGGCCGCCTCACGCTGCTCGTTCAACGCTTGCGATTAGATTTTTACTGGCGATACTGGCAGGTCATCCCTAAGCTGCAAAAAGAAGTAAGACATTTATAGACACAACGTAACCTGAATGGTATATTTTATGTTATTAAAACGTTTATAACTTTGATATACAACTTAAGATATCGTTGAGGTTATGTTTTGTGTGAGATGTTTTGTCCGCTCTTTGCTTGGCTGGTGGCGAAGCATTTAAATGATCAAAACAGGCTCAAAAGCAGACTCAGGGCTCAACGTTCATGATACAATTAGCGATGCAGCCATATATATATATATATATATATATATATATATATATATATATATATATATATATATATATATATATATATATATATCAACGAAATACCAAATTATTATTGTGAAAATATAATTACAACTCTTACTGGCTGTAGAGGCTGTAGATGCAATAGAGGATTAGATGATCCAATGGAGGATTAATTGGAGGAGTCCAATTAATTATTCCATTGGAGGAATCCTCCAATGGAGGATTAGATGGTTGTTGATGCAGAGGATTAGAGAAGTAAAGATGATACGAATGCGAAGGTCTGCTCCCCATCCGCAGATCTCCGCACAGTTTCCGGGGCTGCCGCCGCTGCTCGAACTGGAGAGGAACGTTAGTCTGGTTCTAGCCAACACGCACTTCTCCATGGGTCCCGTCCTGCCTCTCCTGCCCTCACAGGTGGACGTGGGAGGCATGCACTGCCGCCCAGGTCACTCTCTCCCTCGGGTCAGTATAGCGTTTTACGCAGCGTGTCTACACGTAGGTGAACACACGTACTCTCCTTAGTGAAGCTGTATCGCGCGTATTGGTGTCGTCATACGGCGTGTTCTAGTGTTGACATATAGCTCTTATGTCAACACTAGACATAAGTGTTGACATAGGGTCAACAGAGCCTGGGTACAGAGCATTGTCTTACAGGAGCTGGACTCGTGGATCTCAGGCGCAGGGTCGGCGGGGGTCGTTTACTTCAGTCTTGGCTCCGTCTTCAAGACCGATACTCTGCCAGACCAATACGTCGGTCTCTTCGTCGAGGTCTTCCGCAGGCTGCCCCAACGCGTCATCTGGAAGTACGACGGGCGGCTGGAGGGATTGTCTGACAATGTGCTGGTCAGAAAATGGCTTCCCCAGCAGGATATTCTTGGTGAGCTTAACATGTCCTTTGGTGACTGGCATATTATGTATGACACTGATAATTTCATTGTATAATGATGTTTTTCCTCCTATTATCATGATATTTGATCACTGATGCCAAATGTAATTAAAACTATTTTTTTACAAAATCAAAGGGATTGATTATAAAAATGTGTTTGTGTTGATGAATTGTTGTATGTTTTTCTATGAAATATTGATTGATAAATGTAATTTTGTATTCATAATTCCAACCTGAATATACAATAATTTGCTGAGGATATGCATTATCAGGAACATATTATTTTACAAAATAAATTTTATGAAATATGTTGAGAACTTCTTTTAGTATAAATCACACTATTTTAAACATTTAAACATAACATGTATACATCTGATTAGACGAACACAAATAGCAATAACGTATAGAATACAAAAGCTGTATAGAAACAATGTTGCAATTAGATATATTATTCAGGCAGTGCCTTGTGGTGGAAGGCTTGGTCATGCTGCTGGGTTATATATTCTCATATATATATATGTTTGGCATATAAAGATATATTTATATCTTATATAACAGTCATGATTGTAGACATAAATTATTCAACATTCCCGAAAGGGTTCGATTCTAGAACGTATCATGTCAATACTTTAATTCGTTCCCTCATCACTTGGAAAGAAAAATTAACTCTCTAAAAGTTCATTTAAACTATTTTATTGACCTGATAATACATTATGCGTTTTGGTAGTTACTCGACGCTTGATATTAATGATTAATATTCTACTTGTGATCCCAGCCCAAGATAGTGTGAAGGCGTTCATCACGCACGGCGGCCTTCTGAGCCTGCAGGAGGCAGTTTACCACGCCAAGCCCGTGCTGGTTCTGCCCCTCTTCAGCGACCAGCCCAGGAACGCCAAGTTTGTGTGGGACAAAGGTCTGGGTCTCACGCTGTCCTGGAACGACGCCCTCACTCCGGACAAGGTCGTCGGCGCCCTCACTGATGTTATCACAAACCCAAAGTCAGTCGTCTGTGAGACTGTTCTGTTTACTCTGTGTGATATGTTATATGTAGATCAGGTAAACATATTTAGATTTTTATTAAAGCTGGTCGTTTCAAGCCAAGAAAATCATATCAAACTTTCCCATATACTTCCTGATAAAGTGCACGTTTTACCAGCATGAAGGGCAAGATAGTAGAACCCTTTAAAGCCTCTCTCGTGCCTCTATCTATACTTACCTTAAGAATATTAGAATTTAACAAAAATGTGTAGGAAGTTAAATTAGCTGCATAATACAGATAGATAAATACATTAGCTGTATGCGGATACAGATAAGTTGAATAATCAGTATTCATATCAGCAACAGGTGTGTTGCACTGAGTTACACATTCCTTAAGCAGGCTGTGTAGTTTTAAATAACCTGTAGTGGTTACTTTACTTTTTTCTGCAACATTTGTTGATTACTTAAATTTCTGTTCATAATCAGGTTAATTAACTTCGTTGTCAGCAACAGTTGTTCGTTAATTTCTGCTTATAATCAGGATTGTATATTTTATTGACTCTACAAGTTATTGATAAATTTCTGCCCATGGTTCGGTTAAATTTAGTTATGTAATTGTTGTTGATTTCTTAAATTTCTGCTAATTCTCAGGTTAATTATTGCTAATACTTTTGTTTGTAGTAGCTGTTGATTACTTATATTCGTGTTCGAGCTCAGGTATAAAGAAAACGTGACGAAGATTTCACACTCACTGAGGGACCAGATGCTCACGCCCCGGGAACTGGCGGTGTTCTGGACGGAGTACGTCCTCCGACACCCCGGGGTACCTCACTTGAGGAACCCCGCGGCCCACCTCTCCTGGCTGGAGTTCCTGATGCTGGACGTGCTCCTGGTGGTCCTCCTGGCTCTCCTGGCCTTCTGTTTCATCCTTAGAAGCATCCTCAGGACCATCTTGGGCCAGCTAGTTAGCCTCGGGGCAGGAAAGATAAAGACCGAATAGCATTACTTTCCTCACCTGGTGGATGACGGTGTTTAGTAACAATCTTTGGTGGAATGTTATAAATATATTTCAATATAGCATTTTATTTCATTATATCTTTGCAACAAATCACGCACCAGTCTATACTTGAGGCTGCTGCATTGGCAGTAAGTTAAATACTACTTAATCTATTATATATATTCTCATATTTTTATACTGCCATCAGACTTTACACTAAAATGGAAAGAAGCCTCAGGAATCCTGAGAGGAAAAAAGTTGTGAAGCTACCTTATATTTGGGAGTACCAAGTGAGCAGGTTCAAATCCTCTTCATTATTCCTACTGATTTTCTCAGTAATATATAACATTAATGTAATTTCATTGTGCAAAAGACGATTGGCTTTTGCAATTATCGATTAAAACTTTGTTTTTCCACAATAGACGTTAAGTTAATTTTCCTATAGCTTAACTCAAGTGATCTATATCTTTTCTTAAAAATTGAAATCACATTAGTAACCTTACAGGGCTATTAGTACTCTGTCTGACTCTAATGATTCATTAAATAAGTTAGACAAGGGTTCAATTGGCCCTTCTTTACATTATTTAACAATAGAAAAGAGCATTTAAATAATTTATTTTGTTTATGGGACTCTTACTATTTGTGTAATACACCTTAAGGGTATTGCTATTTCAGGCTTTTCTCTATCCCTGATCCTTTTACCCAAACGTTTTCCTTTCCAACATACATTTCTATTGAAACTTTTGCCTAGATCCATTCCCATACAGTATCAACTAACAGCTTAAACCAAAACAAACCACTCCAACCACAGACACAGACTCTAACGAACTGGCAACAGCAACAAGCCTAGCCCTAGATAAAAGAACCCCATCCTGAGCATACATGTCTATCCTTCCATAGAAGTGTTCCCAGTTATCAATGGACAATGTTACATTTGATTTGCAATATGTGTCCAGGCGGTAATTGACATCAAGTGCCCTAGACAACCATTCACTTCCAATTCCCTTTTTTGGAAGAATGCCACATATGTTCAGAATCCCTCCCTTGCTCCTCACTAATTCTATGACTGTCTTGAACCTATGTATCAGTGCGTCACTCCTAACTCGTCCAACTTCATTTCCACCGGCACTGATAACCTAGCGGGTTTCATTCCATTTCCACCCGTAATGTCATTCACATTGTTTACACTATCCCCTATTCCTGCTCCCGAAGGGCAAACCCGTAACCTGTTTACCCGATCTCTGGCACCACAAAGTCGTGTCTAAATAAGGAAAAATCGATCAAGAAAAAACCCACCGCCGTAGCATTCCTCCATCGCTTATAGCGCTATGCGTGTTTGTGGCTTTCCAAGAATGTCTGGACATCAGTGTTATGTACTCTCACAACCCAATAAACAAATAAATTAATAAATAAAACCACCGGCAACAGAGCAGTAACAGGCAAAGGTTTCCATCTCCATTACTCCAGTACTCCTCTTATATTATGTATAATCCCAATAATATATATATACATATATATATATATATGTATATATATATGTCGTACCTAGTAGCCAGAACGCACTTCTCAGCCTACTATGCAAGGCCCGATTTCCCTAATAAGCCAAGTTTTCGTGAATTAATATATTTTCTTTAATTTTATTCTTATGAAATGATAAAGCTATCCATTTCATTATGTATGAGTTCATTTTTTTTATTGGAGTTAAAATTAACGTAGATATATGACCGAACCTAACCAACCCTACCTAACTTAACCTAACCTATCTTTATAGGTTAGGTTAGGTAGCCGAAAAAGTTAGGTTAGGTTAGGTAGGTTAGGTTAGGTAGTCGAAAAACAATTAATTCATGAAAACTTGGCTTATTAGGCAAATCGGGCCTTGCATAGTAGGCTGAGAAGTGCATTCTGGCTACTAGGTACGACATATATATATATATATATATATATATATATATATATATATATATATATATATATATATATATATATATATATATATATATATAATCTTTGGACAACACCCACCAGTGGGACTCGAACCCAGAAAGCACAACTACCTTCCAGTAGCTGGCATAACTAGTATGCTTTTTTGTAAGGTCTGATGGCGTAGTGGGTTAAAGCATACTAGTTATGCCAGCTACTGGAAGGTAGTTGTGCTTTCTGGGTTCGAGTCCCACTGGTGGGTGTTGTCCAAAGATTGTTTATCTTCACTTGTGGTTTATGCAAGTATAGGCTTATAAGCTGGACACGAGTTCTCTCACATTGACAGTGGCTTGACGAAAATTGCAGACTGACCCCTCACTCATCTGGTGCCTTCGGGAGGTAGAGATGTTTGAGATATATATATCTCGAACTATCTACTTCTTTTGTAAGGTCTGATGGCGTAGTGGGTTAAAGCATACTAGTTATGCCAGCTACTGGAAGGTAGTTGTGCTTTCTGGGTTCGAGTCCCACTGGTGGGTGTTGTCCAAAGATTGTTTATCTTCACTTGTGGTTTATGCAAGTATAGGCTTATAAGCTGGACACGAGTTCTCTCACATTGACAGTGGCTTGACGAAAATTGCAGACTGACCCCTCACTCATCTGGTGCCTTCGGGAGGTAGAGATGTTTGAGATATATATATCTCGAACTATCTACTTCTTTTGTAAGGTCTGATGGCGTAGTGGGTTAAAGCATACTAGTTATGCCAGCTACTGGAAGGTAGTTGTGCTTTCTGGGTTCGAGTCCCACTGGTGGGTGTTGTCCAAAGATTGTTTATCTTCACTTGTGGTTTATGCAAGTATAGGCTTATAAGCTGGACACGAGTTCTCTCACATTGACAGTGGCTTGACGAAAATTGCAGACTGACCCCTCACTCATCTGGTGCCTTCGGGAGGTAGAGATGTTTGAGATATATATATCTCGAACTATCTACTTCTTTTGTAAGGTCTGATGGCGTAGTGGGTTAAAGCATACTAGTTATGCCAGCTACTGGAAGGTAGTTGTGCTTTCTGGGTTCGAGTCCCACTGGTGGGTGTTGTCCAAAGATTGTTTATCTTCACTTGTGGTTTATGCAAGTATAGGCTTATAAGCTGGACACGAGTTCTCTCACATTGACAGTGGCTTGACGAAAATTGCAGACTGACCCCTCACTCATCTGGTGCCTTCGGGAGGTAGAGATGTTTGAGATATATATATCTCGAACTATCTACTTCTTTTGTAAGGTCTGATGGCGTAGTGGGTTAAAGCATACTAGTTATGCCAGCTACTGGAAGGTAGTTGTGCTTTCTGGGTTCGAGTCCCACTGGTGGGTGTTGTCCAAAGATTGTTTATCTTCACTTGTGGTTTATGCAAGTATAGGCTTATATATATATATATATATATATATATATATATATATATATATATATATATATATATATATATATTGTGATGGTAACGCGTTGGTGTTCGGCTGTTTCAAAAGCTAGGGGTATGGCCTCGTCACATAAAAGAAAAAAAGAAAAAAGAGCTGGAACTTTCGTCTGTGGTAAGGTAATGGGAAGACACACAAAACACAAGTAAATTTAACAATGAAATTTTAATTACGTTAGAAAAGCAAGACATGAATAAAATTGGACATAAAAATTGTAACAGATAAATCAATCAAACAAAATAATAAGAATAATCACTGGCAAATGAAAAGTTACGTTAAGACAAGTGAGTAATAGCAAAGTAAATTATATTAGTGCAGGAATATTGGCTTCAAGCTGCCACCTCCCTTAGTACACGTAAGCCAAGGCTTAGTCTACCAATGAGACGTGTTAACTTGTGTGGAGCACGATATATTCTGCCTTCCTCAGGACGCGGTGGCTCAGACATCAGCTCGTGTGGCGGGTGGAGGAGCAGGTGCAACGGGCATCAGCCAATCAGCGATAGGCAGGCGATGGACAAGCAGTTTGCCGGTTTGAGTGGCGGAGGTGGAGCAGGTGTCCCGGTGATGGATACGTTTGGCTCTCTGGCAAAACTTGTTGGATATATCTTCTATATTAGTTGTTTCTGGGACGTAGTTTGAAGGGAAGAGCAGGCTCAATCTCTCTTGAAAGAGATTATCGTCACAACTCTCCCCCGAAGCCTGCGGTTCTGGAAGAAGTACGTCGTTATGTGGTGAAGTAATAGGTGGAGTCGCTTCTACTTCATAAACTCTGGAGAGGGCATCGGCTATGATGTTGTCAGAACCTTGGTATAGCGGGTCTCCAGGTTGAATTTCTGCAGTTATTAAGCCCATCGTAGAAGACGTTGAGATGAGAAGTGGGCGTGCTGTAGGAGGTGTAGGGTGGTGTGGTCCGTGTTGGTGGTAGACCGAGCACTTTTCAGGTGTGAAGTAAAGTGCTGGAGCTTCAGGATGATGAAGAGTAGCTCCTTGCCAATTGTTCCGTAGTTCCTTGTAGCAGTAGTCGCTGACAGGTGTATTCTCCTCGCCTCGTTGCTGCATCACGATACCACCAACGTCGGTACCACTGGCGTCGACATGGAGGATGAAGGGCTTATCTGACGAGGTGAGAGTGGAATTAGAATATGGCAAAGGAGCACTATTATGGTCCTGAAAATAGTTGGGAATATCAGTATGGATTTTTGAATTAGAAAGCGCCGACTCCTTGTCAGTGCTTTCGGGAGGAGAAGCAGGGAAGGTCTCACTGTGGATGTATGGTTCTGTAAAAGTGGAATAGTTTAACATGACAGTGGGAGGAGTACCATTATATAGCTTCAGGAGGTTGACGTGGCACAGCTGGGTCTTCCGCCGTCTATCTGGAGTCTCTAGAACGTAGTTATGGTTGTTTCTGCACTCCTTGATGCGGTATGGTCCTGAAAACCTGTTTTGTAAAGGAGAACCTGGGATAGGGAAGTACGCTAGCACGAAGTCTCCCGGTTTAAATTTTCTTACTTTGCTGGTCTGGTCGTAATGAGTCTTCATCCTCTCCTGTGCTTTCAATAGATTATCATGGGCAAAACTGTGGACTCTCTCTAGAATGTGTTGAAGGTTTTG